AGGGGCTGGTGGTGCAGTAGCGTTGGCGGCCAGGAACCTCACACTGGCCGCCAGTGGAGTGGCTCTGTCGTTTGCAAGAAGATCAGCATCTCTGGTCGACGAGGCCTGGTCGGGCATCGATCTGCTAGGATGCCGCCTCAACGTGACAGGCGGCCGCTTCGTCGTGGACATCGGAGCCCGCTCTCGCCCAAAATATGATGGAGGAACTCGAGCGTGGGCTGCAGGTGGTGCCTGAGGCTTTGGCGGTGGAGCTGTGGAGTTCCATCCAGGCTGTGTCTCCCAGAGCGCCGTCGGCAGCCAGGATCTCTGCTCAATCCAATTTCTCCGAGAGCTTGTTTGTCCATCTGGGGCTGGGATGTTATACTGGTGGCAGAGGAGGTCCTGGCCATACGCTTCTACTTCGCGAGGCTGGGCTTTGAACTGCAGTGGGCCAATCCGTTCTAGACCCTGACTGGTGCCGACCCGGGTGGGGAGCTCGAGCGCATCACCACATGAGTCAGAGATGCCATCGACACTGCTATGGACGCGTCGGTCATGAGAGCGCCGCTAAAGGCACATGAGATGCTCCAGCTTCCCACCACTCGCCCGCCCTGGTGGTTTCGGGTCGGCAGAGGTGCATATGCACAGTTTGAATGGTTGAAATATGAATGCGGGTGGTGGCTGCGAGGTGGGCAAAGCCACCAAATTTTGAGAATATCGCGTGGCGAAGGGTGGCATACTCACATACTCAGAGCGGATTGAAGTTTGGAAACGTGAAGGATGTTCCCTTGACTGCGGGGTGAGGTTTCATTTCAGTTGGATGCCCTCGGTCGATGGGGAGTTTGAGATTTGATTTGCAGCACGTCCGTACTGACATATCGAACGTGACGAGATGGCTTTGGTGAATTCGTGTTCTGGTGCAAATAAGGTTGCGGCATCACTATTGCTCATGTCTGTCCAGGCTTCGCCTGTCGCACGTCCCTCCTGTACAGGCTTCGCATGCGTCTCCGCCTCTCCCCTCGTCCTCTCCGTCCTTCCCCTGGGCCGCGGGGGCGGTGCCCGGGGGTTAGGTGGGTGGGTTCTCGAGGCGTTTCAGAGTCAGGCCCGACCTTGTACATTATACACGTGCACGTACACATACACCTACACATACACATACGTGCACCTATACACATGCATGTACGTTTACATATGCATGTATCGATACATGTGTATACATATGCATATACATGAAAATACGTATACACCTATGCACATATGTATATGCTTTCACATGAACAGATACCTAAACGTTTACATACCCATGTGAATGTACATCTGCATATGCATGTGCATATCCCTATGCATATGCAGATGTCTGCACCTATACATATACATATGCATAGCCATGGTACCAGCGAAACACCGATCAAAGTCGTTTTAGGGCTATATGGCTATGGGGCGAATGGGCTTTAGGGCAGTGGGGCTGTAGGGCTATGGAACTATAGGGCTATAGGGCTATAGGGCTATCGTGCTATAGGCCTATAGGGTTATAGGGCTGTAGGGCTATGGGGCTATGGGGTTACGGGGCTCTGGGGTTGAGGGGCTGTAGGGCTGTAGGGCTATAGGGCCATAGGGCTATGAGTCTATAGGGCTATAGGGCTATAGGTCTATAGGACCACAGGGCTATAGGACCTGAGGAATGTTGGGCTATGAGGCTATAGGGCTATACGACTGTAGGCATATAGAGGTATAAGGTTATAGGGCTATAGGGCTATAGGGGTATAGGGTTATAGGGCTATAAGGCTATAAGGCTATAGGGCTATAGGGCTATAGGGCTATAGGGCTGTAGGGCTACAGAGCTATTGGGCAATTGGGCTATAGGGCGATAGGGCTGTAGGGCTATAGCGCTATAGGGCCATAGGGCCATAGAGCTACAGAGCTATAGGGTTATAGGACTATCGGGCTACAGGGCTATAGAGCTATAGGGCTATAAGGCTATAGGGCTGTAGGGCTAAAGGGCTACAAGGCTGTAGGGCGATAGGGCTATAGAGCTATGGGGCTGTAGGGCTATAAGGCACCCGGGCAACCAGGCAACAGGGCACCCTGGCGGGCCGCGGAAATCAGTGACAAACCTCACGTAACCATATGGATCCGCTAGGACCCCTACAGAGGCAAGCTCTGATAGGGGAGTAAACATATACAAATACGTGTACAAATGCGACTATAGATATACACGTGTACAGACACATACACATGCACATACACATGCACATACACACATACACACATACCCATGCATATACACATATACATACATACGTACCTATAGACAGGCAGACAGACAACCAGACAGACAAGCTTCCGTACATCCAGACGTACATACAATCATACATACACACATGCATATATTATGGCAGTCATGCATGCACGTGTGCACATGAATACATACATACATGCAGCAACGGATATCTACACACATGCATGCATATATACATGTATGCAAACATGCATGCGCGCGCACATACATACATACATACATACATACATACATACATGCATGCATGCATGCATGCATACATACATACATACATATATACATACATACATACATACATACATACATATACATACATACGTACGTACATGCATACATACATACACACATACATACATACACACATACACACATACACACATACATACATGCATGCATTCATACATACATGCATACATACATACATACGTGCATGCATACATACATACATACATACATACGTACATACATACATGTTCCATGTACACATGCATGCATGCATGCATACATACGTACATGTATGCACACACGCGTATACATATATGCATATACATACACATACACATACACATGCATACATGCATACAGGCACACATACATGCAGGCATGCACACGTTCATGCATACACGTATGCAGGCGCATACACATACATACTATACATCGATACGTACGTGCGTACGTCCGTGTACAAGTACTCACATGCATGCATCCACAAATGGCAACAACCCTTACATACATACGTGCATGCATTCATACATACATACATACGTATACACACAGACACCCCCAGAGGATTGCTTCTGGGGCCCGGCCCGGGGGAGAGTGGCGGTATATTGATCACCGCTAGGAGACAACAATCTTATACGCTGTGGCCCTCCCTGGACGGAGGGACGAACTCAAAGGTGGGCGTCTGTGTATAGAGTTGCGTGGCGCTCTGGCGCAAGAGGGCACAGCAACTTCAGGCGGCGGCTTATGCGGACCGCCAGCGCGGCACGCTGCGTGGAGAAGAGGGCGCTTACGCGCGACCTTACGCAGACACCTCACGCGTGACTGTCTCCGCAGTCGACCCAGCTCTTGTAAATCGCTCTCCTGTTGGCGGCGCCACACTGGGGGTGGGCAGCAGGGGGCGGGCTCCTGAGAAGACAGGGGACTCTTAGAAGGGATCGGAGCCGTCCAAGAAGACTCTCTGCTTCTGAGAAGGCAGGAAGGCCTCTGAGAAGCCCCTCTGCTTCTGCGCCCCTCATCACCCTCCCCCCTTCTGGACGCCGTCGTGGCGCACCTGAAGCAGATGGGAAGCCTTTGTTGTTCTGCGGGCGACAGAACAACCCAGTCTCATGGCACCAGCTATGCACTGACTGCAACACGCGTGCACCTCGGAGGATGGGCTGAGAGAGCAAAGTACAATAAGCCACAACCCCTCATGACGGCGGTGAGGGGAACCCTTTCCCACACATAATGCTTGCATTTCAAGGTGCTCGCATGCCCTCTGAAGAGTTGACTTGCTCCATGGAGTTCCGGCGGCTGCCGCCATTGAGTTCCCGCGGCTTCCATTGGGGCAGCCCGCCGGGTTCCGACGGTTTCTGCCTTTGGGTTCCTGCTGTTATTCCTGGGCGTGCCACCGGGTTCCAGCGGTTGCCGCCCATCGGGCTCACGCATTCCGTCTATGTCAGAGTGAAGGGGCCGCAGGGCCTGACCCTGGGTGAGTGGCACAAGCGTGGTCCCGCGGTGTGGACTGCTGTTCTTGTTCTCGTCAGCGTCGTCCTCGCGAATCGTCCCTTGACCCGCCCGTGGCCCGCCTCGCGCCCCGCCCGCGGCGCACCGCGCGACCCGCCCTGAGACCCACCCGCCGCCCAACACGCGGCCCGCCCGACCCGCCCAGCGACCCACCTAAGATCCGCCCCGCGATGCCGACGACCCGACCGTCGACCAACCACGCGGTCCACCCATGTTAGAGGAAAGAGAGCTATGCGCATACACCGATTCTGGCCAGACCCATCCTGAGACCAGGATCGGTGCAGACGCCTTCCTACCTTGGCCAGGAAGGCATATGCACCGATCCTGGGTCAAAGATGGGCCTCGGTGCATGTGCATAGTTCTCTTCGCCTGATATGCGGCACTGAACCAGAGAACCAGCTTCTTCGGCTGGCTGTTTTGCGTTGTCTGGGGAACACCATCGTGTGCTCCCGCCCGCGAGGACTCGCCCACGACTTGCCCACACTGCGACGCGATCGTTGGTCGCCCCCTCCTTCTTTCCCGCCATTGCGGCGCTTGGGTGCTCTCTGGTCAGCTGGCCAACACATACAT